CTCCAATCAACAATCTCATAAAAGACGAAATTCCGATCCTGCCCTCGCTTCTAGCCTAAGCAGTGACGTGGCGACATCAGTGAGGAGAATGAGGTAATAACCGTACCAGGAGTAACCGGAGAAAAAGCTTCACCTCGTTCTTCACCCCCTTGTTATATTACTCTCTCTGCTCTCAACGAACATAACAATACGAATTCGAAAGACCTCACACAGATCTATCGTTCTCTTCTTTTTCTCTCTGTCGTTTCGGTCTCAAACGCTATGGCGTTTTGGAGGTCCTTGGCGTTCTCCGCGATTCTTCTTCCACTCTTCATCCATGGCGCACTCTGCTTCTACCTCCCTGGCGTTGCTCCACAGGACTTCCAGAAGGTTCACTCCATTTGCATTTCCATTTCCATCTCACATTACACGCACTGGTTCTTTTTTCGAAATTTATCTTTTATTCGCTTCATAACCGCTTGATCTGCGTTTGAATCTGAGATCTGAGATGAATATTACCGATGTTATATTCGTTTTACATTGTTTCTTAATTTTCTTTTTATTTAGGCTGTGATTTTCGGTTTTTGTCTGCATTTTCTCAGTCATAGTTTAGCGACATTGTGGTGTTAGTGTCTCAAGGCCTTTTGTATCTGGAAGTGTTGTTGTTGATATTGTGTGTGTTAATTTAACTTCGATCTGGTGTCGGTGAAAAGGTTTAGTTGCTTCGGTGCGGTGTGTGAGACGCATTTTGGTGATTTGATCCGTTCTAGTCTCTGTGATAATGTAAGACTCTGTTGTTGAAATGGTGTGTTCAGTTGATGGAATTTAAGCTCAGCTTGTAATGTAATAAGCATGGAGACTTCTAAATGCTAGCTGTGTTGGATACGTGCTCATGTTAATTGTTAGATACTCAATGGAAGCTTCAATAACTAAACGAGACCTTTTGGTTCCCCAGAAGATAAATATTTAGATTTTCTTATGCCTCTACTCAACAACCACATCTGGCCTACTACTGTGAATGTGCTAATAATGTACTTTGTTCTTTCACTTTGTTGTTTCTGGTTATATTTCTTTTCTATTTGTATCTTTATGGACAATCGCACATTTAAACTTAATAATTATTCTTCTTTGGATGGTTTTTGTTGTCCCCTGTTTTCTTTTAACATATAACAACCCATCAAATGAATTGGGTGCACACAATTATCATGTAATTAAGCGTTCGGTCTTCCTGGTTTATCTTGTTAGTATTGTTTTCTACCCTTGTATTCTTGCTGTCCAGTTTTGTCTTTTAAATTAATAATAACGGATATCCAGAAATGCATGGATAGATATATTTATTTACTGACTATCTATTTATATGGTGCAGGGAGATCCATTGCAAGTAAAAGTAAACAAATTAACTTCAACGAAGACTCAGCTTCCATATACATACTATTCTCTTCCGTACTGTGCACCAGAGAAAATATTGGATAGCGCTGAAAATCTTGGAGAAGTGCTTCGTGGTGATCGCATTGAAAATTCTCGATATGTGGTATGTTTCATATGGCATTTTTAATTCTTGCATGGCTAATTATGTTATGGTTATCAACTTAGTTACTGGACATATTTGCAGTTTAAGATGCGTGAACCACAAATGTGCAATATTGTGTGTAAGCTTAAGCTTGATGCCAAAACTGCAAAAGAGTTCAAAGAGAAGATTGATGATGAGTATCGAGTGAACATGTATGGCATTCAATAATTTTCATATGTTTTCATTCCACATCTCTGCCACAATGTTGACATCTTGTAACCTGCCTTTTACTTGCAGGATCCTAGATAACCTTCCTCTAGTTGTTCCCATAAAACGGGTGGAACCGGACTCTACTGTTTATCAACTTGGTTTCCATGTTGGACTCAAAGGGCAGTATACTGGGGTATGCTCTGCATCTTTTAGAACAATGTTTATTGTTGTGAGTGCCTTGTGTTTTCTTGTTCTTACTTTGTTGAAATACACAGAGCAAGGAAGAGAAGCATTTTATTCACAACCATTTGGCTTTTACGGTCAAGTATCATAGAGATACACTTACTGAATCTGCTAGAATTGTGGGCTTTGAGGTTAAGCCTTTCAGGTCAGTATTTTTGTGCTTGTTTTGTTTGGTTAAGTAATTCCATTTAGCAGTCGTGGTTTGTATGTAATATTGATTTTACGAATGTTTCTGTGCAGTGTTAAACACGAATTTGAAGGGAAGTGGGATGAACAGGCCACCCGTTTGACAACCTGTGACCCTCATGCTAAACACACAGTTGTGAATTCGAACACTCCTCAAGAGGTCGAAGAGAACAAGGAAATTATCTTCACCTATGATGTTGAATTCCAGGTGAGGTTATTTTGATTTAAATAGTACATGTATACTTTCTTTGGTACTCAATGATGGGTATTGGTGGATTAAGCCAAGTAGTTCAAAATATTCTTTTATGAATTATGTCCTAGTAGATATTGTTCATCGCTCGTTAATGGGCAGTTTATCTAGTTTAATATAGCTTTTCTTTCTTGTAGCTTAATTTCTTCATTTTTTCTTCTAACCAAGGGAAGTCTTCACTCCCTCTATTTTCATCTTTTGTCATCTTCTTTGACCTGCTTTTACCTTTTCCTGCATTTAGGAGAGTGATGTGAAGTGGGCTTCAAGATGGGATGCCTATTTGCTGATGAGTGATGACCAAATTCACTGGTTCTCAATTGTTAATTCATTGATGATTGTTCTCTTTCTCTCGGGCATGGTAGCAATGATAATGCTTCGTACACTTTACCGTGATATTTCAAAGTACAATGAATTAGAAACCCAAGAAGAAGCACAGGAAGAGACTGGTTGGAAGCTTGTCCACGGTGATGTTTTTAGGCCACCAAACAACCCAGATTTGCTATGTGTTTATGTTGGGACGGGTGTTCAGTTTTTTGGAATGATACTAGTAACAATGATGTTTGCTGTCCTGGGGTTCCTTTCTCCTTCAAACCGAGGTGGGCTAATGACGGTCATGCTCTTGCTTTGGGTTTTCATGGGAATTTTCGCTGGTTATGCCTCGGCTCGCTTATATAAAATGTTCAAAGGAGCAGAGTGGAAGAAAATTGCCCTCAAAACCGCAATCATGTTCCCTGGAATCGTTTCTGCCATTTTCTTTGTATTAAATGCTCTGATATGGGGACAAAAATCGTCTGGAGCAGTGCCATTTGGAACAATGTTTGCCCTGATCTTTTTATGGTTTGGGATCTCGGTTCCACTTGTTTTTGTTGGTGCCTATGTTGGGTTTAAGAAGCCTGCGACTGAAAGTCCTGTGAAGACAAACAAAATCCCAAGGCAGATCCCTGAGCAGGCATGGTACATGAATCCAGTCTTCTCAATTCTGATCGGAGGAATACTTCCATTTGGAGCTGTTTTCATTGAGCTTTTCTTCATCCTCACTTCAATATGGTTGAATCAGTTCTACTACATCTTCGGCTTCCTCTTCTTGGTCTTTGCCATCCTCATTGTCACTTGTGCTGAAATAACCATTGTGCTCTGCTACTTCCAGTTGTGCAGTGAGGATTACTTGTGGTGGTGGCGGTCTTACCTTACATCTGGCTCATCTGCTCTTTATCTATTTCTTTATGCAACATTCTACTTCTTCACCAAGCTTGAAATCACAAAGTTGGTGTCTGGGTTATTGTACTTCGGTTACATGCTTATAGCTTCCTATGCCTTCTTTGTTGTAACTGGATCCATCGGATTTTACGCATGCTTTTGGTTCACAAGGCTCATCTATTCCTCGGTCAAGATTGATTAGTTATAGCAATCAGTGGGTTGGATTAATCTACTATACTTCTTGAAGGACGAAGACCATTTGTGTAAGGATTTTCAAATTCAGGTACTGATGTCATGTTCAGAATCAGATGTAACCTATTCTATACAGTTTTGAATTGTGACAACACCGTTATTCTTTTGTTTCAATATCTTTTACTTGCCAGAGTTGTCGAAGTGTAGATTTTAAGGTGTACGCTGCAGTCTTAACTTGGCGTTTTCTGTGTTACTTTCGGAGAATTACAATTTGGCTCCTTGTCAGATGATTTTTTATTATTAGCGGTGTAATAAAAATGATATCCCAACAACGTAGTTCGAACTTATGAGCCTCTGCTGAATTGAACCACTTTTATATTGTTATTACGCACACCTATTTCTTTTACTTACACATATATGTCCATATATGAATTGATATTTTTTTCACATTTGATAAATGACTGAAGGTTGCCTATTTTAGATGTTTGTTCTAATCGAAAATTTGCCAGGCAATAGGTGCTACCATTGTATTCATTGTCTGATGACGTTTGAGGTATTGCTTTCGTGCTTCCCTTTGCAAGCAATATGATATGTCGTTCACAAGTACAGCAGGATTGAAGAAAAGTTTATGCATTTCAAAGCAACTATTGAGTGTCACTAAAGTGTCACGGAATTTGCTTAGCTTGCGTTCTAAGCATCAAAGGAGAAAATAGAAAGTAAAGGAATATCAAGTTCTAAACAACTCCAGTGTCAAAATAGTTGCTTAATGTTACCAAAAGAAATGCTTAGGCAGCGAATAAAGTACAAAGTAAGGTAATAAAGTTCACCGTTATCTTTAATTATACATCATCTGTTAAATTCTCAGAAAAAGGTACAGGATAAAAAATGGAACTAACCTTTAAGATTTGCCCATGTTTTTTCATTTTTAAGCTTCTATACTTCATAGATTAACTTTTCTCTGCATTTAACTCTCATTTGTTAAAAATTATTTTTAATCATTGTACGACGGGCTAATATTTAGAACTCGTTTTTATAGAATTTGTAGTCATGACAATGGCAGGACTGAAATGGAACTGAAAACCCAAATCACTAACAAACGTATCAGAACCAAATGAAACATATCACGAATTGAATGTTATATTTGACAATTTTAAAGAGTAAAAAAAAAAAAAGCGTATGTACTAAATATTTGAATTTAAGATGGAAGCACGAACAAAATTCTCTCTTACAGTGAGTAATTAAGAATTTATTACTAACATATGTATGAAGTAGAAGAAAGAGTGTGGTCCATTCTACATTCCCCCATACAAAGAAAGAAGATATGAAATGAAATGCAAAGAGTAGTGTGTGATATCGAGAGTTTGACAGAAGTGGTATAGTAGAAGATGTTAACTATTTGTTAGGGTGAGTGTCCTGAGGTTGTGCAACTCCAGCAGAAACCTTTGCCACATCCCTAGCATTAGCCTCGGGCTTCTTCTTGGCATACAAGACAGTGTAGCCAACTGCAGCCGTAATGAGCAAACCAGCTATAGCCATTCTTGTGTAGCTGTAAGGAAGTGATTTCCTCTGATGAAGTACTTCAGTTGCACCATGACCTGGGGGTCTCTTTGAGGCCTCTGCTTGTGCTTTTTCTCTATCCATTTTCCTCTTCCTATCTTCCTCCACCACTACCTCTTCTTCTCTATATATATATCAAGTCCTTATTATTACCACCACTTCAGCCATGTATAAGACTCCAACTTTGATGTCTCAAATAAACCGTTAAATGTTCTCAAGCCACGTAACACCCAACTCTTATGTCTTCCCAACACGTAGCCACTATGTGTCGTTGAAATGGCCTCTTGAGTTCACCAGATTTACCATGCATGCTGCTTCACGCACACATCATGCTACCACTTTTCAGTTCGGAAATTATTATTTATACACATAATGCTAACTTGTCCGTAAGTAGTAATGTGCTTCACATCAACCTATAATATATATATAATTTTTAAGCATCCCAACACAAATTTTATAATAAAAGATTAAGATTTAAAAAAAAAGCAGTGAGAATTAAACAGAAGGTGGAATAATTAGGTTGTAAGTTAAGAATGAAAAAGTGAGTAAGTCGAGTTGAAGTTTTCAATCTGATATAATTCATCACTTTAGGTCAAGTTGAAGTTTTAATGCGTTATCGCTTCGTCTAATTCATGAAACTAGCAGGTTAAAAGACGGACTGGACGTGTTGATTCTTTAATTTTTAAATTAAAAATTAAAATTAAAATAATTTAAAAGATAAATTCTGATTTAACTTTTTTATTATTTATAAAGATTATTCAATGTGATATCTTACTTTTTTTTTATTCTTAATTTAATTTTTTTATTCAATAAAAGAAATTAATGTGACATTATTTGAAAGATAACTAGTGTCAATAATGTATTTATTTATTTTTTAAAAATTTTGGACTAATCCAACCCTCAGTCTATCAATTTGTACTCACGCCAACCTCTTCTTCCCTTAGTTCTCCAACGCCCGTCTCTACTACGACAACAACCTCGACGAGAAGTGGTTTGCCATATTTCTCTGACCGTAGCCAAACACAGCCTTCTGTGATGATTACCTTCCCTCTTGTGATGACTCAACACGCAATTCTTGATCCTGATAGTCTCAACCCGATTTTTTTAAAAAGATTATAAGATCTCATGAGTGTTTCTATTTTATAAATGATTTCCTACCCTTTCAAAGAACTTATATCAATAAAATTTATTTTGAAATAATGATTTGATTGTTATGCTTAATTAAGTTTCATATATCTCGTAAATTTAAAATTTTTTAATTGAGTCCTTTTAAGATCTATTAACTACTTAAAAAACAATTATATTTTTCAATTTTTAATGTTTAATTTTTATGTTAACTAAATCATGCTGTGATTAATTGAATGATATGATTATTATGTTTTCCATCACATTTCTTTTATAATCTTTTAATTTTATAATATCATGTTTGATGATTTTATTATTGATTTATTGTTTTTTTTTTCAGTGTAGTGTGTTAAGTTGATCTTACATTTTAAAAAAGTTTCAATTGTATTCAAACCTAATAAAATTTACCTTAATTAAGTTTCTTTCGTTAAGTACAAACAAATGAAGTTAAGTGTTTGATGATATGGTAAAGACAATGCTAACGTGACAAAAGAGTATGGTAACGTGACAAAGGATGGGTGTCGTGGATGTCGTAAGTGAAGTACCCTAACAAGCTTATAAGTGGCAGTAGCGTGACAGGTCTTTTTTTTTTTCCTTTGTATTATTCTTCTTTGTGTTATTCTTCTTTAGGGTTTGGAGTTTACTGTTGTGTGTTAGTAGTACCGTGGTGGTTCGTGGTTGGTGAAGTGTGTATTTTTTCTTCCTACTGTACCATCTTGTTGTGGTGTATAAGGACAAGTGAACTGATGTAATAACGTGAACTCAAGACTATAAAAACTTGGATGAGAAGTACTCTTTGGCATTGCATCTTAATATGTTGATTACTTTGACCAAATTGATTCTTAATTTCATTCAAAAAAGATGTGAAGATGGGTAACAATTCAAAACAATCTTTCATAAGATAAACCCAAGTACATCTCGAATACTCATCAATGAACGTTACAAAATACCTAAAACCAAAAGATGAGATGCGTAGGTCCCTAGATACCATAAGGAATAATAGAGAAATTAGAATTACACTTTGATTGAAACCTTTTAGGAAAGATAGATCTAACATGTTTTCCTATGACTCACAGTTCAAGGTTTGGAGATCACTAAGTTCAAGAAATATATATATATTTTTTTTAATTTTGAAAAATGAGGATGGTCAAGCCAATCATGTAAAATTTTAGGACCAACTGCTACAATACAATACACTCGTAGATTGACTCTTTTGAAGTAGTTTTAAAGTCATTTGCAAGGGTTATAAAATGACGTTTTTCTTAAAATGAAATGGTTGAGAACAGAGAGTTATTACTAAAGATGTGATCATAAGCACTAGTTAATTATCCATAAATTTTGACGTTCTATGGATTGAGAAATGCAAGTCGTTGAGGTACTTGGAGATTGAGATGTCTATGTCAAGTTATTAGACTTTAATCGTAGATACTTTTGATATTCGTCCTCAGTGAACTTGGAGTGTGGTAGTTTCAGTCTTAAAGATATTAGCTTTTTTGGAAGGAAAATCGTGTAAAGAGTAGTAATTTTTTTAAGTGTGACCCTTTCTTTTAAAGCATACGCGTTGGGTACGCCCTTGACCTCTATGTCCTCCTCCTCTAGTACCACATCCTCCTCTTCCTCGTGTGACAACCATGGCAGATGGTTCTACTAGTTTGTGAGCTTCTCAAGTTTAAGGCATCGGGACACGTAAAAGGTGTGTGGTCAAGGTATCCATGGAAGGGACCTCGTGAATGGTCAAAAATTTATCTCTAATATGATCAAATAAAGCACGAAGGATCATCACCACATAATATTTGTCAAGTTTCTTTTTTATTTCCATCAAAGATTCAACTTCCAAGAACATCCTCAATTCTTCCACAACTGATTGGATTTCAGTCATGAAGGATACCATATCATGGTCTGTCATTTTGATATATGCAATCTTGTTTACCGTATTACAGAGTTGGATTTCGTTGGCATAAATGTTTTGAGCTTTCTTCCAAAAGGAGTGACATGTTTTAAAAGCTCTAAGAGACTTCAAAAGTCTTGGTTCCACGAATGGCCACAACAGGACACACAATTGGAAATATGCTTGTTTCCACTGTTCAACTTTTTCATCAGACACATGGCTTCCATCTTACTCAAGATGGTCATGATGCTCTTGGCCAAGAAACAACATTTCGACGATAACAAACCAAAATAAATAATTTTTCGCATTTAGCTTCTTCGAAATAATGGAGGAACTTTCAGAGAATGAAATAACACTTTCAATAGCCATTTATGATCAAAGGAACAAAAAACAGTAAGGATATACTAAAACAACAAGGGAAAATGAAAACCTTAAGGTGACTTCCATAAGGGTAGCTTTTGGATTTCACTAAAATGAAGTTTCAAGGGTCAAAATAGAGAGACAAGTCTGGTGATAGCTATGGAGATGGTGTGGTAACATTCGAATAAGCAGATGATGGTTCGTGGACAACATGCACCTGGTTGTAGCGGACAAAGATAGTGCCCGTGGCAGTTAACTATCCCTCAGGAGGTTGGTTGTTGCTTGGAGTGGCGATCGTCAGACTAAATTACGACAACCGACAAATTGTGACAGAATAGTGATTGATAATGTTGGACAATTTCAAAAACGATTGATAGCTATCGATAAAGGTGGACAACAACAAAATGAGCTTGACAATCGTGAATAACAACAAATAGAGTTGGACAGTCGTGGAGAACGATGACCAATGCTGATAAATAAAATGAGTCAGGATCGATCATTTCTAATACAGATACCAATTTAAGATTAAAATCAGAAAAATATAATTTTAGAGGCCTTATTGGAACTTTATCATGTTCTATTATTTATATTGATAAAAAGTTGATATAATAGAAAGATGGAAGGTAAATAAAATAAAGATAACACATATTGCTTCCTACTTTAGTCCTTCGGACTTCCCCAATCATAAATAAACTTAATAATCATTCCAACAAAAATAAAAACAAAAACAAATGATAAACTTAAATATAAAAACTAAATTATTAATTAAATCATTATAAAATTATAAGTTTACATGTAATAAACAAACTATATCATCTAACCAATTGTCACATACCTTAGTTATCATAGATATTAAACAGCTTGAAAAATATATTCCTTTTGATAAAATAGTGGTATTGAAAATGTTATTAACAGGCTGTGTTCTGAAACAGAATGCACCGTTTGAATCCTCCATTTTTTGGATTCAATTTCAGAAGAAGAGTGATTCGTATTCCCTTCCTCACAATTTAACCACTCAGATCCCATGCAGAGCACAGACACCCTGCACTACCTTCCAAAATTCCAATTAATTTTATCATAATAAGTGTTTTTGACCGTTACTATTCAGAGGGCACCCAAACACGTCACAACATAAAACAAAATTTAGTGGACCCCACGTCATTCTTCTTCCCAATGTCACTAAACGGCTAGTTGCTGCTCTCCGCAACCATAAATACGACACACTCAGAGGTTCTCTTGCTTCAATCCAACACACTACTTCCATATTCATCATCTTTCTTATTCTCTTCCTTTTTTTCTCTCTAACTCTGAGACTTCAAGGGAATAGTAATAAGAAATTATGGCTGTTTTTTCTTCAGTTTCTTCTCCTCTTTTGCTCACCTTCTTCCTCCTCTTCGGCCTCTCTGTAGCTAGGGAAATACTGGTTGGAGGTAAGACTGATGCTTGGAGAGTTCCAGCCTCTGAATCAGACGCACTTAACCAATGGGCCGAAAGGTCTCGTTTCCAAGTTGGCGACTTTCTTGGTAACTATTTGCTAGCTTTCATTTCCCAAACCTTTTCCTTTCTTAGTTTTTAATGATCTTGATGCTATTTTTACCTTGGTATGTTTTCAGCACATAGCTTAAATTTTAAACATTTTCTGTTGCATGTTCTTAAATCAGATCAATACTAAGGTTCCAAGTTTTGCAATTTTTCAACAAAATTAATCATGGCATAAACTTTTAAAAAATGACCTTTTCTTTTCTTTCT